CCGATTGCGGACCATAACGAGTGACCAAACCGTGTACAATAATTCGTCGCTTTCTTTTTCTTTTAAACTCGTCGATATATCACCGGATAGAATTATTTATTATTTGCCTGGGTTATACTGGAAATATACCTAAAACTGAGAAAATATTGCAATTTTCGGAGAAATAGGTTCACCACTTGCGCTGGCAATTGATTGCGGACCATAACGAATGACCAAACCGTATACAATAATTCGTTCACTTTCTATTTGAACTCGTCGAACTCGTATAGCATTGGATAGAAATTATTGAGAAATAGTAAATTTATTATTTGTTTTTGCCTATTTTTTTTTTTAGTCGAAATATACTTAGAGCTGAGAAAATATTGCAATTTTGGAACAAGAAATTCTCGACGTGCGTCAAGAAATTACTCGAATAATCATCGGTCATTCTGATTGTTAATTATTCGCGTGAATCTAATTTGTTGAGAGCTAATTATTATGGTTGACGTCAATCAAAATCCGCTCCAATCGAGTGTGCAATCGTCCTTTCTGATTTTCACGACCACCCATCGTCATCTCATTTCCATAATCTCGAATCGACTGGTCGTCCGGCAGAAAGAACACAAGCAAGTAATTCGTCGCGTTTGCGAGAACCACCGCAGGTAATGCGCGCAGAGGAGGCTTTATAAGCGGCTGAAAAATTTCTCGATGCTCGAGCGCGATGGTCTCGATCGACGTGCACATCGGCTTGATGTCGTCAATATGGAAATAAATCCCAGCCTGGGTTACCGAGAGTACGCTGCCATTAATTTGAACACGCGCGGTCGGAAATATTTCTCCATGTTTGGTGCGTTCGCCGCGACGCGATAAGACAATATTCCTCCACTATGCTTTAAGCTTTCGCGTGTGCGAGATAGAATTTATCGACGTCACGCCGTTTTCCTCTCGTCGGGCGAAAAATGGAAAGAAAATAGAAAAAAAAGGAAACGCGAGACTGAGATAACGCGGCTTTTATCTCGTTAAAAATTCGATTTCGAATGTAAAGAATCAAGAATACTACTACTGTAATTAATCGAATGTTACCAGTTACAAAGTGGTTACAGCAGAGTAGGTAAAAGTTGCATTTTAAAAATTGTTTAATAATTGAATTCCGTGTGAAAAATTTGAAAACACGGATGTACACATAAATTGTAGGATTTATTTGACGGAACAAAATTATACTTAATTATCATGCCGCGAGTCCATTCACAATCAGTCTGTTAGTTCTTCCACCATGAAAATTAGTTCCACAGCAGGCCGCACAAACTATTTTCCCTTCATCTTCCTTTAACTTTAGAAGCTACAGGAAAGGGAATAATTCATACATGTACACTTAACGCGAGTATCGTGGCCGCGGCACTCTCAACTGGCAGTGGACAGATCGACGTAGTGGAGGGGATAGCGCTAGCGATCACGAAGAGTGGGGGTAAGAGTCACGTGCGGCTCGTGGGCCGCCAGTTAGCCACCTCTGTTGTAAAACTTGCTTGTTACTTTGGTACCAATCCTCGTGTCTTTACGCTCCGAGTTGCGACAAAAAGCAAAATAATCACGAAACGGAAGAAATCGATAATTAAATACAGAGATGAAACAATTTGCTATACTGCGTTCGACTGAATAATCACCAATGTATCAAGTGTCATTTATTCCGAAAATTTTATCAAATGAAAGAGAGAGAATATCTTGACAAAATTGAAACATGTTCGAAACCCCGAAAGCGTCCAATTTCTTGAGTCGTTCGTTTTCCTTTGCAGTTTCGAAGTTCTGAACCGAGTGGCACACGACACGATCGTCGCGTTCAACGAGTGTATACAGCGGCAGCGGTTCTATTACTTTTATTTTATTAACTCACAGGCGTTCGTTCGAGTGGCTTCCGACGCGTTACTCCGAGTTAATTGTAACTAACGGAGAAACTCGCCGGGAGGAGGAAGGAAGGCGACTTGGGAGTAGCGAAATACCGGGAACGCGGAACAGAATTAATTCGCCGCGGGATTGTGCCGCGATACGGCCGCGACAGAGCGTGCACCTTGTTTGCAGAACCCGCCCCTCCTCCCCCCTTGCGCCGCGATCGTAGAATTTGCAAGTGGCGTCGTGCACAATCGCAGCGACAACTCGGCAAACTTTTGCAAAATTTCACCGCTGCGTCGAAAGCCGGGCGATGAAATGAAATTCTCCGGAAATTATTGAGTAGCTTCCAGTTGCAAAGGAGTTCGAGGCTGGCCCGCTTGGAGTGGTCCCAGCCTCTCTTCTGCTTACGCTCGTCGATTCTATTCTTTTCTTGTTTCTTGCGGATCGAAAAGTCGAAAAGAAAAGAACCGGCCCTTGTGTTTCTCTTTCTTTTCGTTCATTTCCCTTCAGAGCTCCGCCCGTTAATTGGCCCTAGCTCGTACCTTCTTGTGGTTAACCCCATTTTTATTTCAATCTGATTCTCTCTGTCCAGTTGGTAACAAACTTTCTCTACTCGATATTTTCCGACCTACACGCGAGGATGAATTGATCGAGAGCAATTCTGTTTTCCAATTCGTAAGAAAACGTGTGTGCTCCAAATCTTACCAACAGGAAAGCAGGAATAATTATCTTACGTCTAAGAACCGGTCATACCAAGCTGACACATGAACACAAAATCAAAAAAACTACACCACCCACCTGCACTCATTGCAATAACCATCCACTAACAATAACCCACATACTGCCACACCACAGAACTCCAAAGACAGAAATACGGAATCAACGCAAACATAAGCCTGACTTCTCAAAATGACATACAAAGAGTATTAAAGTATCTCAAAAACATAAACTGCTACACACATATCTAATGGCACCGTTGTCGCTAATGACCTCGCTGTCGATGCGACATTAAAGAAAAATAGAAGAAGAAGAATAGAAAACGTGTGTGCTGTACAGGAAGAACCAAGGAAAAGAAGGGGACGGAGGTACCATTTTTTTTTTTTCTTTTTTTTTAATTCTCATCAAAGCAGTCTCACCTTCCAAATCCGCGCAGCAAATTTTCGGCTTGCACACAACTTGCTTCGCGCAAATCTTCCCCAACACCTTCCTCGCGCGTGGCTTTCTGCTTTTTATCCTAATCGAGTCCGGAGCGACGTCCACCTTACGCTCCTCCTCCATCTCCTTCGGAAGTGTCGGCCTCACTCTGGTCTTTCTGATCCTCCAGATTGATCGTGTCCTTTTTCTCTCCTCCTTCTCATTTTCTACCTTCTCTTTCTTAGGTTTCACTATCTCTCTGTCCTTCAATAGTTCCTGCGCCGCGTGTATGTCGCTCTCGTCGAGATGCGTGTACTGCGCCGATATCTGTCACAGCAGAAACGTGCTCATTTTTCTCACGGTAATTTTCTCGCGCGATTAAAATTAAGAGCAAGATCTGTACCTGTTCTACTCTCTCGAAATACTCCGTCTGTGCCTTCTGAAATTCAGGGATGGTCATCTTGATCGCGTCCTTCGCTTTCGGTTTCGAGAGTCTGGACTTCTTATAGCTCTCCAGTCTTTCCTTATCCGCGTTCACCTGCTTCTCTCTCTTCTTCTTCTTCGTCTTCACCTTCGAATATCGCGGGCTGATGTTGTCGGAAGTCCGATGGGCCAGGCGAATTTCTTTCAAACGGCTGTCGATCGCTTTCTCGTAGCGGCTGCATCTTTCCAGGTACTATGACAAGAACGAAACCACGTTACCCAGTATTTTCGCGTTTTCGTACGTATCGTCGCAGTTTCTTTTTCGTTGAACTCGTTGTGAAAGTTTGAGGAAGGAGACGTGAGGTTTAACTCTTATTATATGACATCTATTGACATATTGGAGTAAGCGCAAAGTGTGTAATCAAAAATACATAATACACTTTAGTCATCAAGACGAGCTTCTCCTATTTTTTCTATTCGACAATATTTTAAATTTATACGATAAGAAATTATTATTGCAATAAAGAATCTTTCTCAATCTATTGCTATCTAATTAAAAAAAAAAAGTCGACTATAGATATAATTGTCTCTTAAAAGGTTCAAGATTAGATTTTCCGTAATTAAAGTTTTGTTTGAAAAATACGTCTTGGACCTTTGGTTGAAGAACGTTACCAGAAAATTTAAAAACGATTCTGTTTCAAAACGGACTAAGGAAAGTTAACTCGGGAATTGATTCGATCAATGTGTACACTTTCGGCGTAGCGAAAGGGTTAATTAGAGCATCCGACGATTAACGTCGAATTACAAGGTGAAAGTAAATTGCAAGGAGACTTCTTTGGTGTTTTCGTTGACGCTGGAATCTTACGTTGCTCAAAGCGGCTCGGTCCTCTTTCGTAAAGGTCGCGAGGTCCTGCGTGCATTCCAACAGGTAGACGTTCCCGTTTCTGCTCCCGACAGCGAGGAACTCGCCCTCGTCGTGAGAGCTGATCGCCGTTAGACTGTCGTGACACAGGCGAATGTCGGTCAATGGTGCCCTCGCGCCTGCCAATATGTCGTACGCCTCCACCGTCCCTTTTTCGTTTATCGTGAAGAACACGGAGCACCTGACTCTGTTCCAGCAGCCGCCGGTCAGATCGATGAATCTGTTGCTGTGACGCGCGGTAATTTATTATTTCGTGACGTACGAAAGATTCTCCGCTAGCACGGTGTGTTTAATAATTAATGCGGACGCCGTTTCTCTGGAGAAAAATTTTCTTTTCTGTAGATAGAAATTTGTGCGCAGAAAACGAAAGTGCTCAATTAACAGCGTGTCTGATTTCCATGCTTGGAACATACTTTCGATTTGTTTCACAAAGTGTTTTTTTACAAGAAGAATTTTTTGTCTTTCAGAGAAGATTCTTATCAAACACACTGTGTGTTTTATTTTCAAGTATACGTATACTTGGTACTAAGCAAATTTCCTTCCTTCGTGTCGTCCGCCCATACTTTGGCCGACCAGTCGCCGATAGTTAAGAAGTTCTTCGTGTAGACGGGATTCCTGTCGATCGCGACGACCGGTCCCATGTAACAGTGGAACCTCACCGCCAGTTTTTCCACTGGATTGCTGGCCCGCCTGTTTACATTGACGACGAGGCCGTTCTCGGTGCCGGCTAGAAATCTGCTGCTCATCGTCTGTTCAAACTGTAGCGCCGTGATACCGATCGCTTTGTAAACGTTTGTCCTATCCGGCTGCTCCAAGTCCATCACCAGGCTCTCCGTTGGCTTCTTTATGAATCGGATGTCCCACCAGAGAACCACGCCGTCGGTGGAACAGGAGAAGAAGTCGTTGTTGGCCTTGGAAGGGATCCAAAGAGTCTGGACCACTGGATATCTTAAAGCGAACGGCAAACGAGAACACGAGGAATCGCAATTTTGCTTCGACGTCGCGACGAAAAATATATTTCCTTCTTAATTTTCAAATGTTCGTTCTGTTCGTCATGTTTCGCCAGTTTTTAAATATTCTACGTTGCAATTTTCTCTGAAAGTTAAATTTTCTCCTAACTACCTGTGACTCACGAAACGATGCGACGTCTCGATGGGTTTTTCGTTCACTCGAAGATCCCAGTAGCACACTTGACCAGAGATAAGACCGCTGACTAGTATCACAGGATCGCGAGGATTGAATTTCACCGTCATTAATGGGCTTTCCGATTTCAACGTGTACACAGCTTTATTGGGATTCTCTGCGTAAGACGAACGATGAGTTTTTAGTGTTGGAATTACGTGTATGTTGTTCGGTCGGTCAAAAAGTAATCGCCTTTCCCTTCAACAGATAAACACGTCTAACTAACTTCATTGCGTATGCAATCTGAACGTAGCTGATTGTCCAAACTTGCTCAAGAAAAGGAAAGTGCACGTATATTTCTTATTAAATTCAATGTGAAAAAGTTTTGCTCTGTTACTTTCGCACGAGGGAAAATAAGTGCAAATTTATAAAAAATTATCCGGTAGTGTCAGAATTATAAAGAATTGTTAATTATTGTTGACGTTGTGAATTATGTTAATTATAAAAAGTTATGACGGTAGTGTCAGAATTTCTTTACTAAATTTCACTGCTGACGATCGTTCTTGGACCTGTTTCCTGTCGAACGAGGTAAGAATCTTTTTTTGAAAACTCGTGGAATCGTGACATTGTCTGAAAGAACAATCAAACGGACAATAAAGTTTTTGTTTCTCTTGAAAAATTGGCACTGGAAGGACACGTTACTTTTTGACCAATCTAAACCTAACCTAAACCTAATACATACAAAAGAAGAAAATTGTTCGCGACAAATTCGCGGAATGATTCTACTTGACGAGATTCGGCCGTACCGATTCGAATCTGTGTATGCGCGATATCGAATGGAATAGCAGCTGGCGCGTCAAAATGTTGCGACTGAGCGCGGTTTCGTCGTCAAATTACATAAGGAATAACCGAGTACCGATGTCCCATACGTAGGAGTACGGACTCACGTCGGCCGAATGCTGCTCAAATTCCAGGAACCCGTACGCGACGGCCAATCGATCCAGATTGTTCGGAGACCACGATATGTCCCTGATTGGTCTCACATGAGTCTGCGGGTCCTCGTACGAGTTTATCACCCTGTATAAGAAAGCAAGAGAGGGAGAGATAGGAAAGAAAGAAAGGAAGAAAAAAATACGATGTTTAATTAATTTATATTCATTATTTTTATATCTGACCTACGTTAATTTACGTGTATACACACAGTAAAGAGCATGACTGTAAATGTAAACAATTTAAAGCACAGTATTTAAATTATCGATCATTTTTCGCTGTCATTGGTACAATTATCCTCGTCGCTGTGCGTAAAATGTGCTTTGTCTGGAATAAAGTAAAGCCTCAACGAGGTCCCAAACAAACGAAATATTTAACGGAATAGAACGAAATGTCGCGGAACGGTTCGATTTTTGGATCAAAGTGATGTTATCGCGACGAGGCGCAGCCGGATCGTTAATTTCACGAACCTATGGATTATCATTGCCACGTCGATAGCGATCGTTTTTGCTTGTAAATTCCCGCCGGCGTTTTGTAACGCGCGCGCATTCCGATTTAATGGATAAAATCGAACGGAGAGTCGTTTTGGCTAATGAATTCGATGGAACTACTCGCTTTATCAACGATCTCCGTGTGTTTCTCGATTCGCTCGACTCTCTCTCTCTCGTTAAGGTCCGCGTTCCCATCGACGAGAAATATTTCGCTCGCGAGTCTGTCTCGTAATTATTTATAAGTGTAATTCCCAAGTACATACACGTCTAAGTTCGACTCTATTTTTGTTTTTTCTTAATATTTAGTGCAGGCTTTGTAACTGTACCTGATACTGTAATTTTTGACCATAGGTGTCGCGATCAAATCGTCGAAATAATTCTGATAGATATCGATGGTGTTGTTCTGCAGCACGTAACCCTCCATCGTCTAAACGACACGCACGAACAATGAAGTTACTCCACACGTCGCCAACTTTTGGCGGAATTTTTGCCGGAGACTCACCGAGAGCAGACCCCTCATGTTCGTCGCCCAATTGTCACTTTTCTCCACGCGTCGGCGAAACCTCTGAACGACTTCCGGGTCACGCGGATTCATCTCCTTCGGCCAGCCCCCTTCCGTGTGCAATATTCCCATGTTTGTCGCGTCCTTTCTTTCCGTTTGCACCTGGGGGAGCCAAATACGAGTTAGTTTACAGTGACAGCGTAGTATCCAGGCAACGTTGCAAACGTAAGTTTCCGCATCTTCAAAATAATTGCGAAAATTACTTTGTACGTGAAACTGACCTTTGCCTAACCAGTGAAATTTAGGTGAAGAAAGAAAAACCGATTTTTCCAATCGACTTTTAGATTTTATAAAACCTGCATTAGGTGAATATCCCATACATGAAAGTTGAAACATGCAACAATGCAAGTGTCATACACCAATAAATATTAATTATATATGAAATTTTGGATCGATATTAGGAGTTTTTTTTAGCCATTCAAATTATTTCCAGATTATCCTTGTCAATACATTATTGTCCAAATATTGATTTAGCTTTTAAATTTCTCGCGTTATCAAAGATATTAATTCAGAGTGATTATTCGTTTAATTCATATAAATGATACATCATTTTATTTCTTCTTAATTTATATTCATATTCAGACGAAATTGATTTTATTATTATTCATTTAAATTAACTCATGTTCGAACAATTGGAAGAGTAATTTTATTTTATTTCATTTATAGCTACTTCATTTTTAAGATACGTTTTACCTTGAGATATTATTTTGAGGAGCTATAATTATTATTAATTTATTATCAGCATTACCGCTATGCCCAATGTCATACGTTCTATGGCCAAAAGCAATAAAATTCCCCCGAAAACTGTGATAAAGATCTGTATAAGAATGCGGCTCAAGGAATAAAGAGTCAGTCAGCTTTCAAACTTCAAACTGTGTGTTCATTCTGTTCGAAAATTTCTTAAGATTCGCCGTTTATTACTTTTTTTTTTTTTTTAAGAGATTCCCACCATGACACAAACATCGATTTCTATTTTTCACAATGCGTATTGCAACGTACCTAGCTTGGCATCGGTGACTCGAAAGGCAAACTGACTCTAACGCAAGTTTCGTGAAACTTGGAATGCATGCATCGCCGCGTGTTTGAACATGTCTATGGGGCACCTTAATGGTCGACTTTGACAGTAGTCGAGACATCTTATTGTTAGTTCGTCCAACCGGCGAACTCAAGACGTTTCTCAGCTCGCAAACAATAAAGTGCGGTTTGTTTCCTGAGCAATCTAAAGCCCCTGAACTATGTAAAAGAGAATGCGTCAGAGTTCCGAGTATGTATGTACGTCACCCCGAGCTACGACTGACGTTTCGTCAGAGTCTAACCTAAATTACGGGAGGGAGAGAAGAGATTTTGTTTGATCTTTGACCAAACAGGTTCTTACCTCGTGGACCGCGTACTGCTTGCTCATCTGTGTCTTGCGATGAGTGTACGGGTGGATCACGTAGTTGTGCATCAGCTGCGGCTGCGGCATGATGTTCTCTTCCGCGGTGTACTCGGTCCGGAAGTTGCAATGCTTGCCGAACTGGCTTCGCGGCTTGATGTACGCGTACTCCGTCAACATTCTCGCTGCCGTGTCTCATTGGATCTCTCGTGTAAAACGATGTATATGTTACAAAATGAAAAAGTTTGCCAAAAATAAATGGATCGAAAAATCTACGGCTACGCAACATGGATGGCCCGAGCTGAACTGCTCGATACACGCGAAGATCGAGAAACAAAGGAACTTCCAATTCGTCGCCATATTTTACGCACAAACTATACACCGTCGCGTCGTTTCGCCCCAAACAAACGATCACTGCTCGTTGAAAAAGTTCCACCTCTCGAATTTACTCTCAATTCTTGTAACAATCATTTCCATCGATATAGTTTTGCATTCGAAATTCATCCTTTCGCAGATTATATTCGCTTTTTTTGCAAATCAAGTTCATCTTGTGGGTGACTCGAAAGCTATGTTCTTCAATCATTGAGGAAGTTGAGTTTTTGTCAAATTTCGCGCAAGAAATATTTTGGCCAATCCTTCAAACCACGAACATTTAGTGGATGTTATTAATCATTCTGTTGGAAGATTGCCGTAATTATTTGTACGAATATGTATATAAAACTACACTAAGCAAGCGAACATAGATCTGTTATATGAATCTACATATAAATAGTTTTGATATTTATGTAAATGTTTATGTCATTTTTGGTTATTTCTTGTTCGAGTATTATTGCACACATGCGACGAACTTTTATTTCGGAATAACAACCTTACGTCGGTTTTTATTTTTAACTTTTATTTTTACCAAAATAAATCGGCAATTTCTCTACTACGTTTAAAATATTTTTTTTTTTTTTATTTACAGATTAAAATACACAAAAAACAAACTTTATTATGAATAAATAATTAATAAAATTAGTTTTTGCCTTATATTTTGATGTTTTATTAAAAAAGAAAAATAGGTGAGAAAAAACTTTTAGCTTACCTTGTATTTATAGAAAAATTTGACTCGCAAAAACGGGTTAGTTACTCACTTTTGTCCGTGAGGGGGTTAGTTTATAGCGCAGAAAGATGAACACGATCTGCAAGAGTGCAAAGCCCGCGTAATCGTAAATGTTTCAACCACGATTTCCATTCCCGAGGAGATTCTAGAAGCACCGTTAGTTAGAGGGTCGCTATTGGCCCTTTTAAAGCCGACAGAAGAAGAAAAGAAAAAAAAAGAAAGAAGAAGAAAAAATAGAGAGAAAGAGAGAGAGAGAGAGAGAAAACTCGTTAACGCTTTTATCTGTTCTCGAGGGGGGCATCGTCGATTTCTTCTAGCCGCTAATTTCCTCAACTCGGCTTCTCTCGGCCCTCGCCATCGCCGTCGGAGAATTCAATTTTCGTACCGATTCCATCGGCGAGTTCCTCTTTATGGAATTATCAGTTGGCGCGGCCGTGAGCCCTCTGTCCGCATTATCGCCGCATTATCCCTTTCGCGACCTTCCGCGAATTTCTGGCTGACGATCGCATCGACAATCGATGCTTTCGACACGGCTCCGTGAATCGCGCGAGCTACGCGCCGTCGTATCGTATTCGACGTAGCCTCCAGCCTCGAAATCACGATCGATTGGCTCTCGCCGAATGCATAAGCCGGAATGAACGCCGAAGGGACTTGACAATGATTCGACACTAAAATTCCCCCGGACAATGTCCACCCATTCGGATGCGTTCGCCTGGAAAATCGATGCCCACGCCGATGCGTGATATCTTCATCGCTGATTAGAGGAACTTTCGGTTCTTTTGACGAGCCTCGCATAACGGTGGCTGGGTCTGCGGTGACCCGTTTGAAGTCCTATTTTGTGTGTGAGTCATACAAAGTTAGCGATAAAAAAATTGGATCATATTACGTTTCCAATAAGAAGTCAAATCGGTGACGAAACGCACGTACGAGTCAGTTCTGAAGAAGCAGTCATAGCGAATGGTCGGAAGTGTATTTCAGTGCATTGTTTTCAGTATTTTTCATTAGTAGTATTCTTTAGTTTTGTAATATTTTTCATTTTTTGTATCCTTTAGTTTTTTCAGTATTTTTCATTTTTTTAATATTTTTTAGTCTCTTAGTGTTTTCTATTTTTTAAAACTTAAAACTTCCAAGCTTGAAACGATCGAGATGTTTTATTTGCATAGGCAGTGACAAGAAATATAGCGCCAAGTGTAGCAATTGTCACAATTTTGTTTGTAGCAAACATAAATGCAATCTAACATGTTAGATGCAACGAAAATAAATAATATTGTTTATAGGTAATAAAAATAGCAGAAGGTGTTTTTATTTCCTACTATCCTATTGTTATAAACAATCATAATAAAAATACAGAAATGAAATAAGATTGAACCAGCTACTACATATAGGCGTACATCGTTCCACTGGAACGTGTATGTATATATGTAGCTTGGGTCTCGCGAGACCCGGCCACCGGCCAGTACGGCCCGTCATGCGAGGATTAAAGGAGGATATATTCGTGAGAACGGCCGGAGAAAATTGGGGAAAGTCGAATTGATCGCGGCTCTACCTCCGGTTGCAGCTTTGCCGCTAAATTCGTCTCGTTCTCGCGAAGGAAAGAGACCTTGAAGGAGGGAGGGGTTTGAAATAACGACAGACATTGGAGTTGGCGTTGTTCTAAATTTGCACGTTTGAACAACCAAACCAAGTCGTAAATCAACGAAGAAGAGTTCGGAGAGCTAATCTTCATCGTTGGCATGTTTCCGGGAATAGAGCGTCGAGCCCACTAATCAGCGTCATCGTGCTAATGGTACGGGTCAGAAAGCTATTCCTAATCAATTAGCTCCGTTGCAATCGAGATCCCGTTCGCGAGGTTAGTATCGCAACGTTTGCGGAAAATGGGACGAATCTGACGAGTCGTTCAAACAACTTGATTTTCCAACGGGATACAATACGAGAACGAGAAAGAATTTCTTGCATTTATTTAAGTGAAAATTTAACTTTCTAATTTGTTTTCTGTCGAATTTGGATGTCACGAACGAGCCGCAAGTCACTTGCATGGTAAATGACGGGACTCGTCGATTCTCGTGATAGATTCATCCCCGGGCTAAACCGTCCGCGGTGTACAGGGTGCTAAGTTTCCAATATCTTTTCAGAGATGTTCGACTGACTGAGAAAGTTCAAGTCATCCTATAGCCGGAGGCTCGTTCGATTAATTGCGAATTCAGCAATCACCGTGACTTTCCACATCGTGTACACCAACACCTCGGAGGCCGAATCCTTAATGAATCTGATTTGGTACAGTGCCATCGGTGTCGATCGATCGATCGTCGTCGTCGTCGTCGCGGCACTGGCGTTACTGATTTTCCATATACCGTTAATTAATCGTTGCAATGCTCCGATCGTTCTTTTCTCCATTAACCCTATTCTATCTTTCACGCGAGCGGACACTTACGAAGATTAATCGCGTTTCTTTTGTTTATCCTTTATATTATTATTATTAACACTAGAACTACCAGACTGGTCAAAATGACCAATCTATAATTTTTGTATGGAAATTTTCTACATTTATGAAAGCGTATTTTTAGATACTCGAGTGATTTTTTAATAAAATATATTAACAGAAGTTTGTGTTTTTTTTTTGTTGTATTGCTAATTTCTTCTTGTATCTTACACTTTAACTTCTTTGCCGCAAATATTATACTTTGGTCGTCGGTGGTTCTAAGTGTTAATATTGTTTTGGATGTTACATACGTGTTTTATGTGCTCGTGCGCTTTTTGCAATTTTACACCTTCAAATTTCCCATGAATACATGAAAGAACTTGACAGTCTAGTTACCGGTGATAACTTGTAAAATGGAATTTATTGGGAAATAGCTTTACAGAGAGAGACAGAGAGAGAATATTTTGCAGCCACGTAAACCAAACTGGCGATGAATCAGATCGATCAGTGTCTGCGTATGTCGAGCCACATATCGAAGATGAACCCGCGTCCCGGAACTAAAGCAATCTAGCATTGAATTCCAAAACGTCCTGGCGGCGCGGCGCGACGGGACGGAAGTACCAGCAGAGTTTAACTGTCCAGAACGAGCTGTACGCGCGCGGAATTCCGATCCACTCGACGTTAGAACGTCTGACAATTAAATTTTATTCAGTTTCCAACAAATGAAACGACCAAAGTTTCAATTTTTCCCGAAAGTAACTGCTCGCAACTTGTTTGTTAATATACAGTCGACCTTCTCGTAACATGGCATTCCGAAAACAGACGATTTCCACATCGAACTTGGACGAGCCTCGAGTGTAACGCGGAATTTTTCTGTGTTCTAACGAGTTTCGCTTATCTAACGGGTTTCGATACAACCGTGCTAGTAGAATGATTGATCGTAAGCACTAAAGCTGTCTAGGTTCTATAAATAAAAGAAATCTGTGTGCATGTGTGTATGTAGTTTCTTCGCTCTGAAGATACGAGCGAATGAATACCATTCGGTCATTCGCATCTGCAACAAAATTTTTAGTGGTCAAACACCAGAAATTTTCATTTTTGTTCATTGGTGATTAATTAATTATTTCGTAAAGATTACGTTGACGCTAAAAAAAAAAAAAGAAGAAGAAAATTAAAGATATCGAATTTAGTCCCGAGTAGACTCTGATAAATAACTCGAATTCTTTCTTCAACGAGCACGTGATTAACCTTGAAAGCGAGCCTGGATGGACTGAGTGGTGGCAAAAATTGCAAGAGAAGATTCGTGACAAGGAGAAACGACGAGGAGAGGGAAATGTAAGGGTCTCTGTGTAAGAAATTCGTCGCGGGAGATGATGGAACATTTATTCCGAAAGGTAAAGCTGTCCTCCGTATATCAAAGAACGCGAGGAAACGTCTTACCACCTGGGCACTTGCTCAAAAATCCATCGAGACTCTTGAAAATATTTCCCACAATTAAACTCAAATATATATATATATATATATATGAGCTTTGAAAGAAAAAATGAGATCAAAGATCTCGTTATCCTCGTGTAATGTTTTCAACGGCATATTTTATTTCATTTGAGACATTCCACTTCGCGCAAGAGATGAATCATTAGCGAGTATTTACCGAGGGAAATATTACGTTCGCAGCTGTTTCATCTTTCTGGATACGCTTTAATTTTAAGCACTTGTTCAATTTGTGTAGAGATTTGTGGGGATCGAAAGATAGCAGACGAAATTTCTGAGATTATGATGCGCAAAAGGAAAAGAAATTCCCCATTATTTCTCCTTTATAAAATAAAACTGTCTTATTTTTTAAAGAAGAATTCCTGTTATTTTACTTTGTGCATTAAATTTTTGATTTACATGTAATTTTAAGCACTTGTTCAATTAGTTTATCAAAAGATAAGAGATTTCAGAGATGATGCATGAAAAGGAAGAGAAATTTCCTATTATTCCTCCTTTATAAACTGTCTCATTTTTTTTAAGGAGAATTTCCATTATTTTACTTTGTGCATTAAATTTTTGATTTATATTTAACTTTAAGCACTTGTTCAATTTGTGTATCAAAAGATAGGAGATTAGAAATTTCAGAGATGATGCATAAAAAGGGAGAGAAATCCCCTGTTATTCCTCCTTTATAAAATAAAACTGTCTCATTTTTTTAAGGAGAATTTCCATTATTTTACTTTGTGCATTAAATTTTTGATTTATATTTAATTTTAAGCACTTGTTCAATTTGTGTATCAAAAGATAGGAGATTAGAAATTTCAGAGATGATGCATAAAAAGGGAAAGAAATCCCCTGTTATTCCTCCTTTATAAAATAAAACTGTCTCATTTTTTTAAGAAAAATTTCCATTATTTTACTTCGTGCATTAAATTTTTGATTTATATTTAACATTAAGCACTTGTTCAATTTATATATCAAAAGATAGGAGATTAGAAATTTCAGAAATGATGCATGAAAAAGGAAGAGAAATTCCCTATTATTTCTTCTTTATCAAATAAAACAGTGTCTTATTTTTACACTTTTTTTCTTTTCTAAAGGAGACTGTCGTAGTTCTCGTACTTACTTTACCTCGTATTATTTTTACCTCGTACGTTTAACTTTTGATTTATCGGTGTTTATCATCGGTCGACAGATCTCGTCGGGGGGTAAATTGTCGGCGAGGAAACTGCGAGACGTCCGTCCAAAATGTATACAGCTGGAGGAAATAAAAGACCCGGGGAACACCGCGACGGAGAAAATTGAAGTACGGCTGCCTCGGAACAGGCTGCAAGAAGTAATCGATTTCTTCTGGGATAGAACGTCGCCCGCCGCAATAAAAATATTGAGCAACTCGTTGAAGCTCGCTTTCGGGAGACACTCGACCCTGAACAGACCTCGAGACATCGATATCGTCCTCGCCGGCCCTCGAGATTTTCACCGAGGCAAGCGACCAATTGTCCCAACAAAGACACGACTGTCCGCTCTAGATCATCTTCTACATCGAGCGTCTTTCACTCGCCTAACCCGCCGATTTGACAGCGTGGCTGCGATTAATTACGCGAAAAGAAAGCTGTCCTTCAAACTTGTCAATACTGGCGCCGATAAGAATCAAGAGCCCGCGAAATCCAAGCGAGAACTGTCGCCTGCCTCGAAAGATACTGACAAAGATCGCTGTGAAGAGGATCCAAACGCGGTGTATCTTCGCTCGGTACAGCGGGCGAGTCCGTCCTATCCGAACAAACCTGAGGGATACAGAACGAGGCTTTTCTCCGATGATCGTGAGAAATCGACGGAACGTTCCGGGGATGGTAAAGAATCGACAGAGACCGATCGCGAGGGAAATTCGACAGATTTCGAGCAACAACGTCGAACGACAAGTCAGAGCGGCAGAGTCGACGATCGTTCGTTCGACGGTGGAAACGATGGAAGATCGACGAAAATGTCGCGAAACACTATCGAGAAGAAACAGACGAGAGTTTCGTCGAACTTGGACAGAATCATAGCCTGCGTGCGAAAGCACAGCCCCTATCTCAGGTCGCTTCTGTCTGAAAAATCGGAAAACAGACCTCCGAAGAGTATCGAATGCCGAGGACGCGAGGACACGTCGGAGAAGACTCGACCTGATCCCTCACCGCCGAGATCCGTGCACTGGTCCAAGAGGACGAAGAGAAGCCGAACAAGCCGCCTTTCCCCCATAGTATTTGCCCCTCATGAACCACGAGCAAAGAAAAGAGAGGCACTCGCGAGAGAGGCGAGCACGAGGAAGAACAGTTACTTGCCTCGAGGACCGAGGTACGAGAACGGTGACAAAAAGTGCTTCTCCACTAGAAAGTACGCGAGCAGCCGAGCAAATTTCGTCGCGTATACCGGGCGGATGTCGAAGGAACAGCTTCGGATGGGGAAAGTGAAGGACGACGTCAAGGACGATTACGAAGAGACGCGGAGGATTCGGATGGGCTGCAAGCTGCACAAAATTGGAGAAACGGGCTGTTTGAAAAAATCGGCCGGGTGTTTGCCGCGGCGAGAGAGGCGTGAACGTTTCGAGAGTAGCGGCGAATGGAGGAGGCAGGAGTATCGAGTTCGATTGAAGATTTTCAAGAAGGCGAAGAACGGCTTGGACCCGTGCCCACCTGTAACGATCCGAGCGTAGCGACTCGGCGATCGTTTCTCTCCGGAGGAGATAAAGAAGCCAGAAGGCTAGGCGGCCGGCTTCGCGTCGTGAAATTTCCATGTTACTAAAGTATCCGTGTAATCCTAAGTGCTGGCGCCCTCGTCGATATCGCCTCGGAGCTAAGAAACGAGAACGTGGAAGAAGGACGAGGAGAAGAGAAAAAGTATTGGTTTCCCGTCGGCTTTATTTTCATTAAAGTAATTGACAACCGCGTTTTGTTCGAGTTCTTACGTTTAATTACGTCGGGTGAGTACGTGTACCGTTGTACGTTCGTCGCTTCGTCGTTTTGTACACGACGCAACACAACGGCGAGGCACGAACGGAACGCCGGAAAAGTTGAGAAGTTCGGTTTCACGAGAAATTAAAGATGAAATAAACGGGTGGCGGTCGAAAGACACACACAGGCGCGTGTCTCTCTCTCTCCTTTCACTCGGCTCGCGATAAAAGCACGCAACGGAACAATAGTTTCCATTCCATCGCGGTGGATGGAAAGTCGCGTTTCTCGAGACAAAGCTTGGAGAAGAAAAAAAAAGGAAAAAAATATGGAGTGCAGGTTGTCACCCCGGGGAAAGAAACAGCAAGAAACAGCTCGCCTGCAGCAGCTGTTGCCAACTTTTCACATTTATCATTACTTCGCGCCATGTATCTTTACTCGTTGTGTATATCGCCGTGCACCGAACGGCGAACGAACGAACTTGCGCATCGAATAATCTTGGCTCCGCGAACTTAAATTTCATCCCTCTCCCCCGATCCAAACATACGACGAACGCTTCGCCCTTAATGAAACGAACCGCGCGAAACGAACGATCGCTTTTTTTTCCCAACGCGATTGTCGTACGAGAACACGAAGCCTGAGAAAAAGTCACTCGCTCTCGGGTAGAAATTTCTCTCGACCAAAAATCTCTCGAGGCTTTAAAGTTGCTTTGTCTTTCGAAAAGAAGATGGAGACAGAAAGAAATTCTTGTTAAAATTAACATTGTCAAATGACGTGTTAACCCTTTCGTTATTGCAGACTTTGATACACGTAGCATATACGTAGGTTTAATCGTCGAGAACGACGAAATTTTTCGTCAGCGTGCATTTCTAAGAAAGTACATTGAAACACTGAATAAATAATATTTATTGTTGAATTGTTAGTGCTAAAAACAGTAATTTTAAGCTTTGTTTCGTAATATTATTAGAGGTACCCATAAGTAACATATTTTGATACTGTAAGAAATTTTTATTTCATTTTGTTTCATTTAAGAGTTAATACAGTTTTAATCTATAATATAATTTAACGATAAGCAGACTAAATGTCAATGTATTTAATATTGTATTGTATATAATATATAGGTTAGAATATAGGTTGTGTTAGAATAAACTAAATTCGCTAGATGGCAATGTTAATTAAATTTGAAGAAAACGAATCTCACATTACTTATAGGTACTCCTAATACATATATCTTGTTGTCAGTATATTTACCTTTTGATTTAAATACCATATCTTCTACTCGAGCTGTACTTTTGTAAAATTTGTTTTATTAAATATAGGGTGGCCACTGAAACTGAAAGGTTTGAAACTCGTTCATTTTCAATTTTTTTTATTTTCTTTTTTCATAGATTATATAGAGCATCCCTTGGAGATTAAAAATATACGCAATACTGAGAAAAAATCCATCAATTATATGTCCCAATAGAATAATAAAAAAATTAAGAAGAACATGTGTTTGTAAAAGTTATTTTTGTTTCGCATCATTCAGTCTTTCGGTGAACCAGCCTATATATAAACGTAGACGCCTTTAGTTTGATTCGTGCTCACGTGAGGTGAGCTGGAATACAGTAGTTAAATATAAAATTCGTCTGTTTATCGCCGGACAAAGATATTAACGCGAGATTGTTATCTTTGTTGCAGATAGTAGACAACTGGTACCATATGGTGCACACGTCGGTGGTGAAGAGGTCAGCGGAACCGCATTTCGGTGTGCAAGGGAGGCTGGCAGAAGACCGCAGAGTGCGTCGAGCGGAGCAGCAGCGAGTAAAATCGCGAACGAAACGAGATCTGATAATGAAACGCGGCCCGTCCACTTCAAGAGCCGTTCTCAACGACGAGATGTGGCCCCAAATGTGGTACTTGGTCAGTTGAATCAAACGAGTCTCACTTCTTTTCTATGGGATATCTATCTCTCTATCGGTGTCTTCTTTCTTTCTTTCTTTCTTTCTGTAATTCGTTCCTCGGTGGAATTTCGTATGCGTATCGAATTTTTATTAACGAATGATTGTTATGAATTAACACGTTGAACGCCACGCTGACGTTACATGACTTGCCCAAAATGCCAACATGATTCTATTAATGTGTGATAATATTATCTGCAACAGGTAAGTCGAGGAATGTAGTTATGTTTAATGGATTATTTTATTACATATATTTTACACATTATTATATATATATATATATATTATTTATCTTACTGGGGGTTACCGGTGACATTCATTCGATTTTCACTTATTTTTTTACAATGCAGTGAAATTGAGGGTTAGCATTTCTTCACCGTTTTTTCTACAAGCTCACGCACTGAGAGAAAGCTATGCCATGAAATTGAGAAAATGGCAGCAGAAGCCAGGATTGGGCGACGATTTTGTAAAAGATGTAAAAAGAACTCAAAGTAATTAGGTAGAGTAAATTACCAAAAATACTGTACTTATTCACTTTTTCTTCGTTTGCAGTGTTAATATGATACAGGTATTACAATATGCGCGAATAATATTTACCTATGCATACTACATATATATATAAAGCTACTTTTTCATGTTCTATACTACATTAATTTCTTCAATTTCTGCATTATAATAACGGAGCTGATATTGAAAAATTTAGAAGTATTAGTAGCAAATATATACATATAAGTATCTAGAAATAGTAACATTCACTTGAATTGTTAGTAGCGTTTCTACTAATCTCTCCACAGTATTCAACGTGTTAATTCGGCCTACTTCGAGTTTACTCGAGGAGAATTAAAATATTTAAAAAAAAAAACAAAGATATCGAGCAAGAATTTGTTTGCGTTGAAAGATGGAGGAAATACGTATTGAAGCACGATTGTCGATAATTGATTTCAGAATAGGGGGAAGGGGTTAGATATGAACGTGCAGGAAGCCTGGGCCGAAGGAATTACGGGACGTGGAGTCGTGGTCACGATTCTCGATGACGGATTGGAGAAGAATCATCCGGACCTCTATAAGAATTACGTAAGTCCTGTTATTTGTCCTCCTAATTCGACGAAACGTTCGAATTCAACGGAGGACATTTTGATACCTGACGATCATTTTTCATCAATCTCCCCAACGACGTTTCAAAAATTAAAACGCTCGATGTTAATCACGATCGCGTTTAATCTCACCGCGTTACGACAGAGATTACGTATTCGCTGTTTCCCGCCGCAAAGCGGGAGAATCGATTTTCCAGCAATTTGTCCAGGATCCGTTCGACTTTGCACAAAAGACGGACAGTTTCCACGAAGCAAACAGAACAGACAGGACGGACCAAACTCTGCGAAACGGAGGACACGGACGAATGTCGGAACCGTGCCAAAAAACTGTACCTGTATTTGAAAGCTCTCTGCCTGTTCCGCGTACTAATTGTAACGCGTCTAATTCCTCCTTGCTGCAACGAGTAATTTGAATCTTTGTCGTTCGAGAAATTATCGTATTTATCGAAAGAAACGTGCGTCAGACATCGTATCACTTGCAGTATTCAGTAAGGAGCATAACTGAGTACATAACGATGAAGAATTTAAGCTGTTACAACTTGATAAAAGAGAATCGATTCTTGAATATCCTTGGTCTCGTTTGTAAAATGTAGAGCTACTACCTATTCTGAGTTTGTTTTTTCAAAGATATTTTATTCTTTTTATTCATATTTCTTTTATTCTCAGAAATTGTAGAAATTCAAATCTGTGAAACATTGAAAAATTTTGTTCAAACGTCTGTAAAACATTCAAGTCTGTAAAAACATTGAAACATTTTTTCCTTAACCATAGTTTTGAAAATTGAAATTTCCTCTTTACAACGATTCTCTCAAACTTGCTCTACGATTTTTTTTTTTTTTTTTTGCAATTTTGTTGAACGTTAAGGTTTGATAACGAAATTCTGGAATTTTTTTTGTTATTTATCTCTAATGTTCCAAGTTCAAATTTTGAAAGGTTGAAAGCAAATGAGAAACTTTAATCTTCAAAACCGCGATGGATTCAGTCGTAAGTAAAATTCTCCGTGTTTGTTTTCACATGTGTGTGAATTTTTACAATTTTTCTTTTTCTCTTTTTGAAGAAAAGGACATTTTTCCATTTGTTGCATAAAGTTAAAATATCTTGGAAGAGAGAAACGAATTCAGGACACTGAAAACAGAAGCTTCACGTTTTAAAATGAGACCAAGTAGATTGTTATGTGATTTCTTTTCAACAAAGTTACAACAGTTTCAAATATTGACAATTGTTCGTTTAGATTAACCGTGGTGCAAAAATGAAAACTGCGTGAAAACAATTTACATTTACTGTAAATTGATAGCGATGGTTATGAAATTTCTTTCGGAAAATCAAAACTACGAAAATATTACGTGTTTCTCTTTCTTGGAATTCTACGTGCAAACGCTCGATAAAGTATTATTTTAAACGAGTTGAAAATTCTATATGTGTGTTTTGCAGTTCGCGTACTCGTATAGTTTGCTACAATTCGTGTATTCGTATGGACAACAAGTCGGAACATTTAAACGAGAAACTGAAAGAGACGTAATAAGATTATAACTGTGCGCAACACCAACGTCGAACTGCTACGTTGCACCACGGCTCGCAGAAAATTTTTTTCGCTGAACTTTCGCAGTCTAGCCTTTTCAATTTCTCGTTAGCGGGCTGCAAGAAGCGAGCTTGTGCCAACCGGTCCCGAAATTGTCCAAGTTACCAGCGGAGCACCGGGAGAGCCAACCAGAGAGTCAAACACTAGACTCGAACCACACGAGAGGAATGCTAGTGTTTGCTAGTGAATGGCCGGGGTTAATAAGGCAACCGCGGACAAACGTGTATCGAGTTCCACAATTTCCCAGCAGATACGAATCCCCTATAATCAGACATAGTGGTCGATATCGATTCGAACGAGAGACATTCGTATCGTATAAAATCGATGAAATTGAAATTTTCTTGATATTGCTTGAAATGTTGTATTTTTCTTTCTTTCTTCTATTTTCTACGTTTTCGACGAGATAAACGTGTCTCGTTTATTTTTCGATTTTTGTTTTTTTAGAAATATAACTCGTCCGAACTTTTCGTGTATTTGAATTTAAAATAATCTAATCGACGTGACTTCGCGACTTCGCGAGGAAAAAAAAGTATCGTAATGAAAAGAAACGAAGAACCGTGACGTTCGAACTTGGGGACAGTTTGAAACAATCCTGAAACTGCCTGAGGAAAGGGAGGAGCAATTACATCGGATCTCCAGTGGGGGATCGATATTCACGGGGGAAGTTGGGCCGAACTGTGGCCAAGTTGTACTCGGTAATTACAAAGATAGTTCACTCGATATTAATTAAACATCTTATCGAGTGGTAAAGGGGAAGAGGATTTAAAGCGTGAGACGGACGACGAATGTGTTTCGAACCGTGGAACCTTGAAATGTCGAAACGTACCGCAAAAAAAGTTAAATTGAAAACACATGCATAGACGTATCATTTTTGATATCGAAAATATTCTTTTCCTTTTTTTCTTTGTTTTTCTTCTTTTTCTTTTTTCCTTTGCATTCGCAAATTGTTGCAACATACGCGACAGTAGAAGGACAGGTGATTGACAGGGACAATCGAATGAACGTTTTAGGATCCACAGGCGAGCTACGACGTCAATAACCATGATGAAGATCCTATGCCGCGATACGATGTTTTAGACAGTAATCGACACGGCACCAGATGCGCCGGTGAAGTGGCTGCAACTGCTAACAATTCCATGTGCGCGGTGGGAGTTGCATTTGGAGCTGGTGTCGGGGGTAAGTGCACTCGAAGAGAACGGAGCACGGCCATTTTGACTAAAATATACCGGCGACGAGACTGAAAAACACTCGTCGCACGAAATCGGTTACGCCGCTTAAGTGAATTTCAATGATTCGATGCGACGAAACATTAATACAACTGATGTAATACGACTAATTAATCTGATCGACGTATTTATTGATCACCAAGATGCGATTTCTTTTCGTCAAAATACAGCGAAGAGAATACACTGAAAAATTGTCGATAATTTAAACTGATTTTTTAACTTCGTAATAACGATCCATTTGGTCTCATTTGATTGAAGCTTGTGCCTTGACAATCGCGATTTTGTTCTTTTCGAAACTGAGAGTACATTTTTTTCTCGAAAATTATAAAAATTCAGACGTTAGAAAAGTTTCCTTCTGACTACGTCTACTATGATCTTGAAAATTGAAATTTTTCTTCTTCACAACAACCTCTTAAAACTCGCTGTGCGATTTTCCCCCCCATCATTTTATTGAATTTGAAACATCAGGATCGGATGGCAAAATGTTGGGATTTTCGAATTTTTGTCGTTTAACCCTAGCATTCAATATTTGTCAATTTTGACAATTTTAGAGAAAAATGTATTCTCAGTTTCTCACCTGCCACGCGATGTAAAATCATCTTCAAACGAAACGACTATCAAATAAAAACTTTGCCCTTTAAAATGACATCAACTGTATTGCCATGTGGATCTTTCTTTACAAAGTTATATCAGTTTAAATGATTCGCAATTTTTCGTTGTTATTCGTGCAATTACGTTCACTTCGTTATAGATCAAAATAGATCGTTGAAATTGCCGGTTCGTTCAAAATAATAATTTACACGTTTGGAGAACCTATCGAGCGCTTAATTCACAAATTAATGACATTTGGTTTTTCATTTACACGCAGGTGTGAGAATGTTGGACGGGGATGTGACAGATGCCGTCGAGGCAAGATCCCTGAGCCTGAATCCTCAACACATCGACATTTACAGTGCCTCTTGGGGACCGGACGACGATGGAAAAACAGTGGATGGCCCTGGTGAACTCGCCACCAGAGCTTTCATCGAGGGGATTACGAAGGTTGGTAGATATTTCGCATTTTTCACGGGACAATATTTTGTCAAACAGTCGTTTGACTGCTGGTATCGTACAGGGTGTAAAGAAAAGCTATCATAGATGAATTCTGCATTTTCGATGTGATGGAAATACTTGAATTTCAAGGTCAAATATTTTTTCTTTTTTTTTTTCTTGTATTGCATTCTACGCATAACGAAAGTAAAACGTTCCAGGGAACCTAATAGTTCTTCTGAAAAATGTTTCTTAATTATTTAACACTGCGCACGTTCCAACGTGCGTCCTAACAGCGACTTTATAATTGGACGCCTATGGATATCTATATTACGTAACGACAAATGTCTATATTTCGAATAATATTAACAGTTAATTTTATCATTCGATTATTTAGACTAACGCTGATGCTGCAACTATGATAAATCAAATGTTAGTGAAAATTACGTAAAATAGACATCCAACCATAAAGTCGCTGTTAGAACGCACTCGTTCAGTGTTAAATGATTAAGAAATTCTTTTCCCATTTTTCAAGAGAACTGATAGGTTCCTCGAAGAAGATGAATAAAATACGATGCAAAACAAAAATGTTGATCTTGAAGTTGAAGGTCAAAGTCAATTTTGCTGCAGATTCTTGTATCTCTATCAAATCGAAGGCGTGAAATTTATCTATGATAGCCACGGAACAAACTGTACTTTCCATCCTTGTCGCATACTTGTTGAAATCGATGGCGAGAAGCGATTACGAAGTGACAAGTTATCCGTGCGACGCGAAATCGAAATTGGAAAGGCGGTCTGTCAGTCTGGGATCGTATCTGCCAGATGCGTTTCTTGGATGCTTCCGCGAAACCGACAACTGGTGTGGCAGACAGTGCCTCGTTGTTATCTCGATGCTACGTACTTAGCAGCCGCTTGAAAGCGACTCTCCTCGATTACGTTCGCCGCGGGAGGCGCGAGGGTCTTTTATCTCGCCTCGTAGACAATGAATCTCCGCGTGTCGGCTAATGTCTCGTCGATCGTTCGCCTACAGTGAGACCAGACGATTCGACGGTGACACTGGTGTCGACAGAGAATGTTTAAAAAAAAGAAAAAGAAGAGAGAAACGTGATAATTCGCGAACGCGAACATAAACTCGTCGATAAAGCCGCTGGATCCGGGTTACGCGTTTAGCGGTTTGAAACTTTCTTCCCTGTGAATGTAGTAACTGAAGTAGCGCGCTGAACTTTGTCCAATGGAAAAATGATTCTTTCGGAACGAGCGTTGCCAAGAACAACCGTAATTCGATTATGCCATCGGAACGAGGAACTTCTCCTTTCCCTAGACCTACCTTAACAGACTCGAGGCGAGATCAGCCCGCGGAAAGTTTCTAATTGGCTGCTTTTAAGCGACTTGTCGCCGGCTCCCGCACACCTGCACGCATTACCATTTTAACTCTGCCCGCCGCGAGCCAGCCGAGTAAGTCATATGCAAATGTCGGCAGGCACTTTCGGCCGAAAGGGGAGAACTCTTTGGTTGGAAACAGAAAACCAAAAATCCCAGGCAGTGAAATTCCCCGAGGCAAGACTCCTCGAAGCTGCGTGAGCGACGAGGTCAATTTGTAAGGCGACTACTTTGTCGATATCGCCTCTGTGGATGCAGTCGTCGTTGTTTTTCATTTTTTCAACTCTAAAACGACTTCGAATTCTTTTAACAGTCGCGTGCCTTTTGTGAGTGTGTCTCCAAGTGAAACGTGTGCAAAGGAGAGAATTCCCAGGACCGTATCAGTACATATGTATATACAGTATTTACAGTACTTTGGGAAGCTCTTTAGCAAAGAAACTTGCAATCCTCGTAGCATTTAACCGCTACAAATTTCCCTTAACCGTACAAAGCCGTCAGAGCTGCAGCATTTTATTCCTCTTTTTTTGTAGTTATACCATTATAAAATGTTCCTCTCTCTCTCTCTCTCTCTCTCTCTCTCTCTATAAACGTTATATTCTTGTCCTCTGAGATCGTAATCGTAGTCCCCCGCAGCATTGTTTAAACTTGCATTTGAGAAAAAAAAAGAAGTACCGTTGAATATTCGTTGAATATCCTTGAGCAAACTGCTTTCGCTCGGTCGTTCATTTGATAAACCCTTGAACACTCAACGGACTTATAGGATAAACGTTTATATTCCGCGAACGTTGCTTCTTGTTAAATATCCAGAAATAAAATTCCGCCTGGAACGAAAGCAAGCTAAACACTTGGAGGAGCCAACCGGTGCATCATCCGTATTGAGGGAAATTTTTTCCCCCTTCGTTTCCCGCGCTGAAAACGCTCGTGCCGAGCATAATCACGGTTGCGAAACGAATTTCTCGTTTTTCGAAGAAAAAAGAAAAAAGAAAGACTGGATCATTTCGTTATCCTAAAGTCTGTCTTTCAGAGAATTACACGAATATCGCCATTCGCGGGGAAAGGACCGCGGCGTCCGATGGCAGCTGAATATTGCACAGAGACCTTTTTTACCCCCCCGCTTTTTCTTCCCCTGCTAATGCAACGATATTACCCTGGCCACTATATACAGCGAAATACGAATTTATCCGCCATGAGTATAATTATCGTTACTCTCGAATTTAAAGCGCTTTCCCTCGATAGAAAGCTAACCGTTAAATATTCATAAAGACAGCCGCTGTTCGCCGCAGTAGCGCGCCAAGTTGGTACTTCGTGTATATCTGAAATTTTCGAGAAATACCGCGACGTTGTTCCGCCGCGGTGCAATGAATTTCCGACTCGTTCCCCCAAATCTGATGTAATTTTTCTTACAGTTGAATCCAGCTGGATTCGTAAATTAATCGTTCGCTAAAGAAGAGAAAAAAAAAAAAAAACAGGAAAAAAGGCTAAGATGAAACGAGATGATATCATTGATTGTTCGTTCGGTTCAATCGACATATTTCGCACTGTACGCGTGTCTGTCCGTTCGAAACTCTAAGTCAGTGACGGCGAACCTTTTTTGAGAAGTAGGTCAAATTTTGTTCATTATTTTTTTTAATACTAGCTCGTAGTTTTTTAATACTAAGTCAGTGGCGTCACTTGCAAAGGGGGGGGCGGGGGGAGAATGGTTAAAAACTACTTTTTTTGGTTCTCACTTTTATAATCCTCTGAAAAGTTTACGTTTCCTTTTTGTTTTACAACTTTTACTTTTGCAAGTGAAGAACAAAAAATAAATGTCGACGTCGAAAAAATTGATATGAAAGGGGCGACATCATGCCCAGTCACCCTTGTACTATACATTAGATATATATACTTTATTTCTACTTACTACTTTATTTCTTTAATATTACTACTTTATTTCTTAATATTTTTTATTGTCTATACTCTCTTTTATTATATAAAAAATCAGCAAAGCTACCCATTCTGAGAATAGGATTTAGTGTGTTTTTTAGTGTTTATTACATCTGTTTAATCGTAAGCGCTATACAAAATTTTTTGAACACAAGTAACTCGTACAACATTTAAGACTTAAAATACCTATATGTATACATAATCAAGTCGTAAATTCTCCATAAAACACAATTATGCATTTATTTCTCACTTTTAAACTCTGTAACCGAACATTTGTAATTTTCTTAACATTTTTTGAAAAGAGGGGTTCGAAAAATAATTAAAATTCTTTTATATATATGACGATAAGTTTACAAAAATCAACGCGTGGGTCATTTAAAAAGCCTGCGTCAGTGTCTGACCCACGCGGGTCATAGGTTCGCCATCATTGCTCCAAGTGCATTCAGCGTTTAATACGTTGCACGTAACTTATCCAACAACTTCAAGGATGGCCCTTTGATCGTCGTCGAGTGGTATCGAAAGTGGGAACTTGATCTATCTAAACTAGAAGTAAAATTTCGACCTTGTATCGACTTGATAGAACGGCGTTGCGCATCTGCATGGCGAACCAATTCGAATGAAAAGAAAAAAAAAAAAAAAAAAAAAAAAACGCTCGCAACGAATCGACGAATGAGCATCTTGTTAGATCAGTCAGGGATAATTGCAAATAAACGCACGTTTCCTTCAAAACGCATCGTCGTACTTGGAACTTGCATTATTCCGTATGCGAGAGGAAGACGACAAGTGGCTCGTTGCTCCTCGCGCCTCGACAGAAGTCGATTATCGTCCTCTGCCCGTACGGGATCACGTCAAAGTGCGTGCACTTGCGAATGCTCGCCGCGCACGTATGTAGGATTAGAATTAGTGATGTACGTGCAGAGGTTCGCTGGCAAATACGCGCCTGTACATAATTACGTGCGAAATCCGTCGCGCAATGTCAGAAGAGAGTTGCCTCTTTCGCGTGTTTAGCTCTTTGGAGGTTGCTCGCGCCCACCTTTCCCTAATCGAGTTAAAAAAATTGAGCGACAGAAACGTCCGTGAATCCGTCGAATTCAGCCGCGATCTAGCATCGATTTCTCGCTTCGATCAAACATCAAACGTCCCGCCAGGAGAGGAGGAGAGAGTTTCCACCTCCAGAGAGCTAAAAGCTCTGTTCGCTCGCTCCGAGAAAATGAAACACAAACTGATGCAATCGTTATTCATAATGAAACACGTCGTGTATCGATTCATACACGTCATTCTTTGATTAGCACCGAACTTAACTACTAGTCAGTTTACGTACGCGTTTACGCCTGTGTTGTGACAGTGTCCACGCACACGGTCTACTCTAAATAGTAATCGTTAATGGTTAAAACGTTCGAGAGTGAAGCGCAATTCATTCTTCTGCCGTTGCGCCGTGTTGTGTTCGTACACGCAACAAGTAAATAGAGATTAAAATACTTTCGAGACATTCGAAAAAATGGACAGACTTTCTTGGAATATTCAGCAAGATTAATATATATAATGTGTGTATATATAATGCTCCCGCGTGAATAACCGCCAGCGCGCATTATATCATATTATTATATTTATTCGCACGTATCGCACGTACGAGTGTAGATATATTTTCATCTATTTATCTCATTCTATCTACCGTTCTTCTAGCGACACTAAAACTCCGTGCCCGACTAACGCGTCCGAGCGTGTCAGGTAAGCGTGTATATCGCGCCGCGTAATTTTTCACTGGGCAACGAGAGGAGGAGGAGGAGGAGAAGGAAGTGGAGAATAATTTTTAAACGTTGCGTGATCCGTAATTCCATAGCGTTTCCGCAGAAATAGCGTTAATTTTTTATAACTAGATTTTTTTACAGTGAAATTTAATAACGTTAGGCTCAACGCTTATGCTCGCGTTGGCATCGGTTTTCACTGCTTAGGCGATATGTTTAAATGAAATTCTATAAAGCACGCGTAAACGTACTTTGTCATAGACTCGAGATGAAATTTTCGTTTTCATAAAAGACGGCTCGATGGTGACCATTGCCTCGGGCAGAAAGAGGGTTTGAGAGAAGCTAGAGAAAAGTTGCTCGTTAACAAGCGATAACAATTTTTTGCGCGAGCAAGTAGCAGCAGGTGGAAAGAGATCTCGCGACGAATGTAAAGACGTTCGTGTAAGGTCGTTAAAGGCCGTTTTTAAATCCCTCTAAGTGTAGCTGCAAGGAACTCGTTAGTCTTCACATTCATCCAAAGGAGCTTTCAAAGAGTATTGAAAAACACATTGTTATTCTATTCCAAGGAACTAACGACGCACACCGTATCTCGGGCTAGCTGTCGCCAGCAGAGAAATTTCTTTATCGCTGTGTACGATATTCCCCGATATTCCCCGCGGTCGTTTCGACGATGAAAATTTGACTCTCCGACTCGCACCTCTCGACAGATCGATCGAGAACTTTCTACTCTTCCTCTTCGAATTTAATTTCTTGGATTTGAATTTTTTAGAAACTTCCTAGACAACAACGCTCTTTTCTTTAAAAAGAAAAGAAGACACGCGATTTTGTCAGCCCCTGCCTCAAGCACCATGAACCTGCGCCGAAGGACAATGACAAGAATTGAACGCGACTGGGATTTCGTCTTCGGCAACACGGCTCTGAAGATTTTCCTTAAGTTTTTCCTCCGAAGATGTACGTGTATTCCCCGAATGGTAGCTTCGTGAACGTCATTCACGGTGACCTATACCGTATCACTATACCCGTATACCGATGTAATTTCTATGAATTTCACGCGTGACGTTCACGCACGCGGCCATTGTGTGATTGGTTCCACGGAAGGAGGAGTATTTTCACTTGGTTGGCGCGGCTCGCGATACTACACGCAGCACCTGCACACGTCGAATGTAACAGAAAAAAAAAAAAAAAAAAAAAGAAAGAAAGAAAGAAAAAAGATCAACGAACGAAATCGAAGAAAATTTAATAGTTACAGTTACACTTTTTTTGAGCAAACGATCGTTCTCATCGCGTATCGTAGTGAACATTTCGCATCATTTCTCTTTTCTTTTTTCTTTTTTTTTTCTTTTTTCTTTTTTCCTCTCTTATTATACGCAACGAGATATATCGTACGCCTGGGAAGATATACATTTGGCACTGGATTCCCGTCGACGGAGCACCTCAGGCTCGAATCGCAATTCATCTCGCGTTAATTAATCACGATCGCGTCGATCTTGGACTAGTAACGCCGATCTCCTCTTCACGGAGTATCTTTGTCTTTCGGTAAAATTGTTCGCGTAGAAGGCTGTCCTATACTCCATAGTATAACTGTCAATCTGTGTCTTGTACACTCTGTCCAAGTGTGTCTGTTGTAAATTTTCAAATGCCTCCGGCATTCACGTTCTATCTATCACACAAGTTGGTAATCTCGCCTTCAGGCAATATCGTCTTTTTATTTTATTTCGAGACAAATCAACGTTCTTCGTCTGCCTTTGTCCGAACTTGTCGAAATCACGGCACGAGCTGATGCGAAACTGTCGAACAAAATTCCAGCGATCGACGTTACCAAGCCAGGGCCGAACGAAACGACAGCCACACGGTCGCAGCAATCAGCGACGTGGAACACCATTTTCTTTTTTTGTTTTTTTTTTTTTTTTTTTTTTTTTTTTTTTCATTTTTTTCATCGCTACCTACCGAATCTACGCTCTTCTTCGCTCGCCTATTCGCTGCGATTAAGATCCGCGGAATTTATCGGAGATCAAAGGAACGATATGGGACAACTGGATCGAGAATTTCAACGAGGAGGACAGCGCGTACGCTCCGTTCCGCGTTCGTTCCGCTTTGTCTGCAGGACGCGACTCTCAGGCCCCGTGGTATCGAGTAAGTTATTCGAATCGCGCGAGTAGCACGAACTGGAGAACACACCAGTTGCGTTCTGTTATCGCGTACACGAACACGCGGTCGCTTAGGATACGAAAAAAATATACGCGGCCGCGCGTGAACTATGACTAGATAGCTTTTGTCCTCGTAGTCCTCGTAGTTTCGGCGATCGAAGACCATCGATTCCTCCCGACGCTTGTCTCTCTTTCTCTCTCTCTCTCTCTCTCTCTCTCTCTCTCTCTCTCCGCGTTACGCACGCACGCACGCACGCAGCGCGGCTTCAATCGATCACGAGGCAACAACCTCGCGAGTGTCGCCGACACGGAATATCGAGTAACGAGAGCAACGTCCTCGTCGTTGGCGTTCCTGAATGGAATTTTGAAAAATTTACGTCTAATACACAGCGAAGAAGAAAACTTTTGGTTATTTTCATCTGACACGAGGTACGGAGAATACTTTTCGACGAGGAAATTACTTCTCTCTCTGTCTCGTACGGAACCGATTTTCGTATTTATCGAGAATCGATTTCCAGTATCTTTTTTTTTTTTTTTTTTTTTTGACATAACAATTGAGCATAGAACAAGTGTCCGAACTAATCCTAAATTTGATCTTAATAAGTGACTCCTAAGAACGTCTTGAACATCGCTTATCCGAAGGAGTGTAGGTGTCAGCGGAGAGATCGAACGTCGGTGAGGATCGGTCTGCGCGCGTCTGATGGACGCTCCTCGAGCCGCGTTACGAGAAAGACATCGTACGACGATGATATGGCACAAGATTTCCCTTTATCCGTCTCTTTGTCCATTCCTTAGCTGTTCATCACGGTGGATCGCCTGGAGTAGCCTCGTCTTGTCACCGTTTCACCCTGAGCCTCGCACTCCCTCTTCACCCGATCGATTATGTCCGCCACCAGCTTCTCTTCCTTCTCTCTCTGTTGCTCCCAATCCGGCCCTTTCCCAACCTGTTGGGGCACATTTCACAATATTCGCCCTTTCTCTCTCTCTCTCTCTCTCTCTCTCTCTCTCTCTCTCTCTCTCTCTCTCGACCGTGAACAACAAACTCGCGAGCAAAGCAAGCAAGCGAACCGAACAAAAGTGTCCTTTTTCTGCTCCGGAAAAACAAAGATGCTTTTCGAAAACACATTGAGCGAGACGACAGTGAGATTTCCGTAGTTTTATTTCCGAGACCTTTCGAAAGGTGTGAAAGTAACGAGCGGATGCGGCAAGCAACGTGACTGGGTAAGCAAGAATCACGATCACGCGGATCATGTGGGATCACACAGGACTGTTCAAGACTTACGTCGGAGGTCTTCCGGGGCTTCTTGTTGGTCGGCTGGTCCTCTCTGTTCTCGTCGTTCTCGTTGTCGGAGTGGCGGGAGCTCAGGTGGCCGATGTAACCCTTGCGGGACTTGAAGTAAGCGTTACAGCTGTGGCACTTGAACAGCGGCGCCGGCTGGGTGACCTGAGCGGAGACGTGGAGTTTATACTTGTGCCTGTACCAACGGGTTCGAGACGGTAGCACCTCACCGCACCACTTGCAGACTACAGAACCGTCGTTTTGAATGAGGTATTCCAGCAGCTTGTAAAACAACGTTTATTTGGTTTTTTCTCTCCCTCTCCCGCTCTTTCCTCTTTGATCGCCCACTCTCTCACTCTCACTCTCACTCTCACTCTCTCTCTCTCTCTCTTTCTCTCTCTTTCACTCGCCCCATGATATTCAGTTTCACGTCGCGTTTCGATTGTACATCCACCCTTCCTCACGGTGTTCTCGAACCCCTTCGATCCCGGCGTCGATGACTCGCGAGACGATCGCTAGCAGAAATTCGAGCTTGGCTGGCGTGTTGCCGTGACACCGTGGAATTTTCTCCGATTTCACCAAGAAGAACCAAGTGAAACGATATCAGGGGAAAGGGAATGGCCGAGAACGATTCTCTCGGGCTTTCTGCGGCGCGGACGGCACGCACCGACAGAAAGGCTGTCACCCCAAGGACAAACATGGAAATTGTGGAGAACAAAGCAGCTACGGCGGGGAAAGTGTTCATTACAGCGATTCGACGGATTACTGGCGAAGAGAAAGATACGACACAGCGAACTAGACAAGATGTAGACCTCGAGACGATGCATTGCGATAGATCTTTGCTCGCTCCAAGTGCTTTCCATTCGGTCGCCACGGGACAACGCGTGAAGAAACTCGCGACGGAGAAGTTCACGAAAGAAACGCATCCGAGTTTACGCGAAACGACGGCTCGCACGTTTTATTCGTCGGGCACGTTTCATTGCACGCTGGATCACCCACTGGAACAATCGTTGTCACTCGTCTTCTACCAACCAATTAACAACACATTCGCGACCGACAAACCTTTCGCTTTTCCAATACCGATTGTCGGTGAAAATGAGGGAAATCTCAAGCGCTGCGACGTTAAAACGAGGGAGAAAATTTGGAAAATTTGTCTTGAAACATCAGTCTTGTAACGATCTGTTTAAGATGAAAATTCTGTTCTTTCCCGTTGATTCCCCTTTTTACAGTTCCTTTATACAGGGTGGGTCACCACATATTGCCATCTAGATTTATTGTCATTTTATTGTTACGCGTGGCGGCGAATGTTTCAGACGAAGTTGAATGGTTTCGAGAAGGGCACATTTTGATAATACTGTAATAGGTGGACGTGTAAGGGACACACGAAGGTTATTAACGTTTTTTTAAATGGTATCATATATTTTTTATTGCATCAGTTGATGCACCTTGATATTCTTTACAAAAAAGTATTAACTTAGGAAATTAGGACCCCTTTGTTAATGTTGTAATGACTTTATTTAGAGAAAATGTTCAATTTAACGACCATTTACATCGTGACATTTTCTGAACCGATAGATTAATAATTCACACACATTGTGTAATGTGTCTGGTGTTATTTTATTACACTCGGTGATGATGCGATCTCTCATATTGGCCATTGTAATCGGAGGCTCAGCGTACACCTTATCTCCTAACAACATTAAAATTAAAATATCTCCTAAACTAACGATTTCTTAACATAAATAGGTTAATACTTTTTTTTTTTTTGTAAAGAATATCACGGTGCATCAACTAAGGTTCCATTTAAAAAAACATTAATGACCGTCATACGTCCATCTACAAGAAAACTAGTATCATCAGAATGTGCCCCTCTCGAAACCATTCGACTTCGTCTGAAACATTTTTCGCTACGCGTAATAATAAAATGACGTAATAATAAAATCTAGATGGCAATATGTGGTGACCCACCCTGTACATTTCGATCGAGCAATGTCTATATCAATGATGGCGAACCTATGACCCGCGGGTCAGACACTGACCCATGCAGGCTTTTTAAATGACCCACGCGTTGATTTTTATAAACTTATCATCATATATATAAAAGAATTTTAACTATTTTTCGAACCCCTCTTTTTCAAAAAATGTTAAGAAAATTACAAGTGTTCGGCTAGAGCTTAAAAGTGAGAAATAAATGCACAATTGTGTTCTATGGAAGATTTACGACTTGGTTATGTATACATATAGGTATTTCAAGTCTTAAATCTTGTACGAGTTACTTGTATCCAAAAAATTTTATATAGCGCTTACGATTAAACAGATGTAATAAACACTAAAAAACACACTAGATCTCATTCTCAGAATGGGTAGCTGTGCTAGTTTTTTTTATATAATAAAAGAGAGAACAGACAATAAAAAATATTAAGAAATAAAGTATATATATATCTAATGTATAGTGCATAGGTGACTGGGCATGATGTCACCCCTTTTATATCAATTTTTTGACGCCGACATTTATTTTATTTTTTTTTGCTCTTCACTTGCAAAAGTAAAAGTTGTCAAACAAAAAGAAAGCGTAAACTTTTTAGAAGATTATAAAAGTGAGAACCAAGAGAAAAGTAGTTTTTAACCATCCTCCCCCTTTCCAAGTGACGCCACTGACTTAGTGACCCACGAGCTAGCACTAAAAACAAATAATGAACAAAATTTCTACCTACTTCTCGAAAAGGTTCGCCGTCACTGGTCTACACACTTTCAATATAACATCGAATACATATGCTTCCCAAAAACTGCGTATAAAAGTGGTCTAGTCTAGAGGAGGGAAAGGTCGAGAGAGCCAAATGGAAAGCACACCCTATCAAATCCGCGGCGAGGCAAGCTTTCTGAGCGGCCTCCTGGTGTTCTGTCCGTTTCTGTTGGTGCGGTTGCCGCGAGGACGTGGCGATAAGCTGCGCCTACTCCTCGTGCTCGTCCTCTGAACGAAGCCAGGTGGCACAGCTGGTGCACTGCCTGCCGGGGCAGTATCAAAAGCAGCAGACCAACCAACCTGTTTCCTGATCTCCGGCTCCGTCTCTCCCGACTCCGACTTCGGTAGCAACAGGCCACCACGATCCTCCGCCCGGTCGGTGAGGAAGTGCATCCCGCTAACCACTTGCTCGGACTTGACGTACTTGCTGTCCGTCGTGTGCCCCTCGCTCTTCATCGCCGTCGTCGAGGAGGGCGGCGACGACGAGGACGACGACGTGCATATCTCGAACGTGATGTCGCTCGGCAGACTCGACGATTTGTCTGGCCAGACATGGAAAGAGAACAGGCACAACAGGAGTGTTAGTACAGTGTTCGGTTTTAGAGATTAGTCAGAGGGGGGGATAATCGGTTTCGGTCGCTTTCACAATGGGACACAAAGGAGATCTCGAACGTTTCGTCACGTTCGAAAATTGGAATTTTTTTTCCACCGACAAGTGGCGAGAAGTCTTTGCCCGACTTTTGATACTCGATCGAGCGATTTAATTGAAAATATGCACCGGTTCGACTGATCTGACGCACAGTGAATAGCGTATATTCTCCATACGCGAGAAGAAAGGACGATCGGCTAAACGGAGAGACGTGTGTTTCTCTGTCTTCCTTTAATGAAGGTTATCCGCTAATCGATACAAGAAGTAAACGGTCGGATAGACTATTGCAGTTGTATATCACAAAGAGTTACAAAGAAACTACAATTAGATAAAAACAAATAAAAATAATAATAATAATTATTAAATTGTTATCGTCCTTATCGCCATCAGGCATCGATAATAATAGGTACATGTGTGCGTACACTGTAGCAAATGTACAGCCAACGACGACCGACGATAATGCGTGCGAACGTATAGCTTCATTTTCTTTATTATTATTGTATATAACTTTCTTTTTTTTTTCTTTTTTTTCTTTTTTTTTTTTGCTTGTTTCGCGCTTTCACCCTTGAACGGGGTGAACGTACAATATAATATAATATAATATAATATAATATAATATAATATAATATAATATAATATAATATAATATAATATATAATATATAATATAATATAATATTTATATATAATATAATAAATTTTTCTGTATTCGCAACGCCTATATCTGCTAATAGTTTTCGCAATTTCTTTTCTTCTCTATTGCAAAAAAAAAAAGCTTACGATTACGCCTATCATACTTTCGTAGTTTCAACGTCCTGCATGAATACGTTTCGTTACGTTTAGCGTCACTAACGAAATCATGTACCGCTTCTTTCTTCTATCGAAACAGAGTGCCGTGTGCGATACATCCGTGATCGAGTGTGCAAATGAAAAGTGCCATTACTGGTACCTATATATATATATATATACGTGTACATCATTTTAACATTACGGTGAACGTGAATTTGCTAAAATTCACTTGCATTACATGCGTTCTCAATAAACATTGTAAGTAAGAGTTACTATAATATACGCAGGTTGGACTTTCTTCTTTCCTTTTTCTCCGTCTATTCAAAACGGTTATTTCTGCCCGTGCTTTCTTCTTTCACCGATAGATACTAAACGTGCAAATGTATAAACTGCGAATTTCATCCGCAGCAAACGAAAATGAAAACTCCAATGTTCTGGCAATAGACAAATAGAAGAGAGAGTTGCTACATCCCCCACCCATCTCCCCCATGGATTTGCAACGAGAGGGAAAACGCACGAATAAAATTTAGATTCAACCGTGGTAAATATAAATAGATCTATTCGCCAGAACACCGTGACAATACACATGTTACAATTCTACTTCGACGAAGTAAAAGTGGAAATTAGAAGGCGTTGCGTTCATGTCGCAAGCATGTAAACAGCACTGTAACGCTTGAAATAAAATGTGTTCACGTTTACGGAGGAAAAAAAAAAAGGAATACAAATAACCGTTTGCTTGCGTTTCGTTTGACCATTTCTTGTCTGCGATTCCCTTTTGAAGCCCTTGACGCACCTTACAGCGCTATCTAGTTACCCGATGCTATAGTTAAAATTAAAAATAAAATAATAAACGTTATTTGACGATGACAGTAGCAATAGTATAATAATAATATAATATAATATAATATAATTAATAATAATAGAGCTATTACAATAATGGTATAAAACTAAAACGTAAGAAGTAAGGTAGTCACAATGCGTGGAAAGTGGAAAAAAAAAAAAGTGTAACACTATCGTTTCTCGATTGCTTTTGCACACATCATCGTTAGAGTTAAGAAGTTCGTCTTGTCATTTTTTTTTTTTTTTTTCCCCCTATTTTAAGGCACGTCGACGATCCTCGCAATCTTCTCTTCCCAAAAATTTAATTGTCCCCGTTTATACGACGAATTGCATACGATGCCCGCATATTTTTCATATGAACGTACACATCATCGAACTGTCCACGAATCTGCGAGCACAATGTCTCAAAAATTCGAAAACCGTGCTTCCACTCGGTTGGTACTTTTGATACAACGTGATCATTTGCGTGCGTGCGTAATATCAAAGTTGAACGTTATGCTCCTTGCACAACAGCGAGCTAACTGGACGCAAGAAACAGAATTGTGCGCGCGAATAAAAATTTCGTGCTTCCGGGCTGACGGAAGCTAAAAAAGATTATCATCGTATCATTCCCCCCATTACATTAACGTAGTTTATAACGTTCGTTATACATATATGTGTAGATATGCTTCTTTTTTCTCTTTTTTTTTTTTTTGCTTTTTTTTTTCTTTTCTTTCTTTTTTCGTAAATACCGACTACGAGTACGAGCCTGGTTTGCAAAATAGAAGCTCGACGAATGCTCTCGCCTGTCGCGACAAAAAAAGAAAAAAGATCAGACGCAGCTTCTCGCATTCCCTCTCGCGTAATATATCTCTCTTTATATATGTATATACTCTTTTTAAATAGTTCTCTGACAGTTATCATCATGATCATCATTATCACCATCATCACCACTTTAAGGCGTACACATCACACGTCTAAAACATCCACGCTCGTTTTTTTTTTCCTCACATGCATATTACAACACCGATGCGGAAGACCAAAATACTGCTTTCCGTTCGGTATTCGTTCGATAATTCTCGCAACGAATTACAGCGTTATTTAGAAAAGAGGAGCAAACAGGAAGGTTGGACGAAGGAGGAAATGTGGATTCGCTGCTCTTTTCAACAAATATATGCGTAACGCGTAAAAAAATAGCATAAACATTTACAACGAATTGGCAAAACAAGGGGTACACATAATAATAATGTTAGATTATAGTATGAACATCGACAAGTGAAACTGTTGCTCGATAAATTGTATTTAATGACATTTAATGTAATTATTGCTAAGTGTTATTACTTTTTAGCTTGTGCCGAAAGTTTATCGAAGGGTCAGATAGCAGAAGTCGCAACGAACCGCGAATTACTTTCCTTTTTCTCCATTCCTGTCCCATATTTTAGCATTGATAATACGGAGGGATAATAACGCCTATTATTCCGTGAAACTTCATTTGCATTGGTTCTGCCCGACTGCGTGAATATTTTCCTCAAAAAATATTTATTGGTATACGTAAATGTATGTATGTATGTATGTATGTACGTATATATGTACGTACGTACGTGTGTGTACTTTTACTTTGCGGTGTCCCAACACCGAAAAAAAAAAAGAGAAAATGTGTTAACAATGTATCAAATAATAGATTTTTTTTCCCTAGATTTTTAAACGAACGAATGAACGAAAAAGTATAATATAATATAATATAATATAATATAATAATAATAATAATAAATCAAAGAGAAAAAACAAACGGTTCAGACCCGAAACTAACTATTGAGGGTCATTATATACCTATGTCTATATATATATATATATATATATATATATATATATATATATATATAAACTTTCTCTATAACTTGTCCGTGCTTGCCTGTGCATTACCTTATTACTATAACACTAGTAATAATAACCAATTTTTTTTTTTATCGGTGCTTGTCCATAGCTAAAAGTTAATAATTCTTATCAGACAATAATATTAATAGAAATAATAATAACGGTGATAATAAAAATAATATTGTGTTTGCTGTATTAATAGTAGTGCGAGTAATGGTAAATCAGTAATTGATAATAGTAATAATAATAATAATAATAATAATAAAATAATTGGTAATAACTATAATACACTTTCCCAGAAAACCTGTACATATGTCGAGAATCTGTTATGCAGTATAATTCGTGTCTCATCTTTCTTCCTCTCTATTTTAGGCACTATCTAATGAACTCTACGAGTCTCCTACGCCTCGTAGCGAACCGTTAATAAACTCTGTGATAAATATACATTTTCCACCTTCTTTCTTCTTTTCTTTCTTTCGTTCTTTTAACATTTTACTAATACAATGCTTCGTTACGCACCATTGGAATTGAAATTTGTTTGTAAGGCGTAGAAAACATTAAAAAAAAAAAAGAAAAATAAAAATAATCATTATTATAATAATAGTGTATAATCCTGACTATACCAAACTCTGCACTTTGTTAACAATCCACCTGCCCTTCCTTCCTTCCTCCCGCATCTCCAAAGCTCGATATCATTCGATAAAAATTTGGAAGCACATTGTCACCGCGATATGCGAATTGATATGTACGTATAAACGTTTTATAAAGGCTCGAAAAAAAAAAAAAAATACGGACGAAATATGTCCCTTGTACAGTCAAAAATTTCACTCTTCCGGCGGGAAAGATTCAGTTCGATTGCGATTGCATGCAGAGCTCTATGCAGTTGTATAGGGAACTATGAAAGATGCAAAAGTTAAAAAAACATCTGGTTGCGAGAAGAAGAGAGAACATATTCGATAAACCAACGTTTCACATATGAACTGCTGAAATCGAAAGACCGAGTAAAGCGACAGAGAGACAGAAGCAAACGGTAAAAAAAAAGAGAAACAAAAACGTTGTGCTTTTATTGTGTTAAATCATCGGAGGTGGTTTCTTTTCCTTTCAATTCTTTCGCGGTTAGCGTCTGTTAAATCCAGCATTTGCAAAATGAATATAATATTCACTGTGTTATATGTAATATATATATTGTATATAATATATATAATATATATTGTGTAATACATATACAATATATTATATAATACATAATGTTATATCAAGGAATATTACTAAATTATATTATTGTTTATAATTCTCAATAAGTAATTAAAAATTGACGATTTATTACTTTAATTAATTTCAATTATCATCTTGAAAATGTTTCTGTCAAGTATAATTAGTAGACAAGTGCAAAATAGTGTTGGAAATGAGAAGAGACTATCTCGGGTTTAATGAAGTAATATTAATAACGGCTGCATCGTAGTATCGCCGTCACGAAAGGGTTAAAGCTATGAATGTATGACCTAAACCAGGAGTATATCTGTACGATGACACTTTGTCAGTCACATTGATCATGCTCCTTTGTATGTTGCTTTAAAAAAAAAAAAAAAAGAAGAAAAAGAAAAGAACGGAAAAGAAAAATATTCTCTTACAGCACGTAAATTTGACAAATTTCTTTTCTGGAAAACTTTACACCCTTAAAAAAGAAAAACGAAAAAAAAAAAAAACGTAAAAAGAATTGAAACATTGATAAAAGCACAAGAAGGCCCGCTAATTGCATAGAAATGTACATGTTCGTTTTGTTCAATATTAGATTTCATTTTTCAAAATGCAACGAGCAAATTGGAATTTCACGTGTGGGTTTCACACCCCCGTAAAATATTGCAACGATATTTAACAAAGGCAGAACTCTTCGATCACGCGATAAATGTTACTCTCTCAGCATTGTGAAACTATGGTTTCCATATATCGTACATACGCAAACGTAACCGCCCGTAAAACCTAAAACCTGTCAACAAATATATATCTAGCTTTTCAATCGTTATTGTCAAAGTTTCTTGTTTCTTTTTTTTCTCGACTGGTCAAATCGCTTCGTACCGCGACTTACGTTTCCGTGTGTAAACAGGACGGCGGGTGCGAGTGAAGGAGACGCAATCGAGCGTAGATCGTCCACAAGCATTGCGCGCTATTGCACAGTTCAAGGATCATATAATACTAATTGTACACAGCAGCACTACTCGAGTAGTCACGTTCGAGCATAGAGCATCTCTTCTCTCTTTGTTCTTCCACTAAAAGACAAGAAAAGAAGAGGAAGAAGAGAGAAAAAAAAAAAAAAAAAAAAAAAAAAAAGGAAGAAAAAAAAAAAAAAAAAAAAAAAAAAAACAGAAATTTCTCACAATCACTCGACGTCGTCTGCTCAGCAGTGTTTGTACTCGATCTGTCGACGTTGCTCTCCCCCACTGGCCGATATATACTCAACGCCGTCGGTCGCCCTTCTTCCCGAACAGACAACACTCCCCCGTGGGCTCCCATCAAGAAAAAACGACTATTAAAAATCGCGCTTCGATACAACAAGAGCGGTCGATCATCGCGGGGGTGAGATAGGCTATGCGATTGGTCCGCGACACACAGATGGATAGATACTTTATTCTCTCAAACTGGGGGACATCTAGTCTTTCTCCTTTCTCTATCTCGATGTCCCTCTCTCCGTTACGACCACGCGCGTATTTTCTCGATCGGATGACTAGACTAGAGACGATGCTGAGAACACTCTTCGATGGAACAAACCAAGAAAGATCTTTCGTGTCTCAAACACGCCCCCGCCTGAACATGGAAAGCATCCTCGACGTGGCCGCGTGTTTCAACGCCGTCCTCGAGGAGACCGTGCTCCTCGGACCCCGGTGGGCGTCGCTGGTCGCAGCAGCAGTGGTGGTGGTGGTGGTCGTGGTCGTGGTCGTGGTCGTGATCGTGGTCGTGATCGTGGTCGTTTCTCCTCCTCGACCAATGTTGCCCTCTGCCGCTGATCCGGTGGTCGTTCTTCGTGCTGGACCGATCGCCACCCCACCTCGCCCTCGCGCTGCCCGCTAAGGCGAGAGAAAAAAACCGAACGGCACCACGCAGTCCTTCGGCATGAAGCAGTCGTGGACGGTCTTCATGTGGTTCTTCATCTTGTCGGGCCTGGAGAATTCTTTGCCGCAAACCGGACAGGGGAACACCTTTCTCTGGTGGCCCTCGTGGTAGAGGAAAGCGTGTCGTTGGAAGCTGTACTTGTTCTTGAACGTCTTCTGTATGTCGAGCTTGGCGCACTCGGTGCATTGGTAGACACCCTCGGATATCGAGGCGTAACGAAAGAGATTCAAGCCGCGGACGGACATCTCGGTCAATTGTTCGGCTGGATCCTGCGAGTGGGAGGTGGCGCGACGTCTCATGCGTCTCTTCGGCACCTGACGGCCGGGCGGCGCCGACATCGTACCGATCTGATGGCCGCTCGTCGACGAGGAGTTGGTGGTCGGTGCCGGGCTGCTGCTACTGCTGCTGCCGCCGCTGTTCTGCGCGTTGTTCCTCGTTGCCGGCGACACCGACGAGCTTCTCGTCGACGTGGTGGTCATCGTCGTGCCGGAACTCGAGGCCGTGCTGGACGTCGAGCTGGACGTGGTCGTGGTCGTGGTCAGCGTGGTGCCGCCGCTGTTGCTCGATCTTGCGTTCGATGTCTCTGTGCTCGACTGGTTCGCCGAGGATCCAGCGTTTCGCCCTTTCTCCTTCCACGTCTCGCCGTCCGACTTTCCCGTGTTGCCCGATGAAAACTCTGCGGAAAGATTCGTGTCAGTACATAATGGCGAACGAGAGTCAACTTTGAGACTTTGCGATTACAAAAATTACAACAACGAGCATATGATCCAGAAAGACACTCTAAAAAAAAAAAAAAGAAACGTGTCGATTCGTTCTCTGGCTACGATATACATATGTGTATAAAGGCTGTGTAAAATTGCATGCAACTGCCAGCTAATTCGTATACTGGAAACAAATAATCGATGCAAGATGTATTATGACTGATGTACAATTCCGACGAGTGCAGAACAGAAATAATAAACTGTGGCTACTGGCGTACTCGCACCGTACAGACCGTACGGTGCAAAACAACGTATAAAACACAATTGCGTAAAAATCTATGCAACGTCTGAAAATAAAATCGCAATAGTATTTAACAGAATAAACGATTGTCTACTCAACAAGGTGCCAATAAAAGAATAATATGTGGGATCAGGGTGTGTCGGGTATCGACGAAATGAAAAATATCGCGTCGAGACCAAACGAAAAGAAAACAAAAGTGTGATCGTACCATTTTCTTTTCCTTTTTTTTTTTTTTTTTT